GGTGCAACTTCCAGTCTAGATAGACTGTATTCAGGTGAAGATGGTAGCGCCGAGGCAGTTACCGGACCGAAATGGTGGACGCTGCCAGCCAAAAAGAAAAGAAAGAGCTTTTGTCTTTTGCCGCACAGCACGATTTGTCTATTGCCTTTGTCTTTTGGCGCACAGCATGTTGCTTTTGTCTTTTGCCGCACAGCACGATTTCTGATCAGTGAAACAGAACCCCATCTCTCTCTCTCTCTCTCTCTCTCTCTCTCTCTCTCTCTCTCTCTCTCTCTCTCTCTCTCTCTCTGTGTCTCTGTGTCTCTCTCTCTGTCTCTCTCTGTGACTCGATGTCAGTTCACAAGTGATGGGCGTATGATCCTGCACACACACCCGACGGGTACTACTCGACATGCCTTTTTTTTTTTTTTTTTTTTTTTTTTGACAGTCGCGTAGCTTTTCCCCTGGCCGCTGCCCCCAGTGGGGGATCCCTGAAGGCTATCAAGCCACCCTAAGGCTATCAGGCCACCTTTGTCAGATTAGACACAAGATTGAATTAACCTGGGCTGGTTATTCCGATGATAATACCTCAAGGCCATCGCCCTTCTTAAATTTTCTATAAAATAAAAAAAAAAAAAAAAAAAAAAGTTCTCGAATCTCGACGAGTTTTACTACCGTATCGTCCTGCAGCAGTTCAAAACTTTTTTAAGGCAAATACTGACACTACCGTTTTCACCCGAAAGTTGCACCAAATACAGCGATAATGACGGGGCGTTCTATTCGGGTGAAGAAGGTGGCGTTTTTCTTACTTAGGTTATCTGACCACAAGTACAATCAACCCTGGATGCAACTGACTGCGATCATATTCCCAGAAAAGAGTCGAGAAAGTCCTACCCTCTTCCCCCGAGCATAACGCACCCTGAAAATGAATGTATACAAGCTATATTTCCGACCAGATACAGCCAAAATAAGGGTGCGTTGTGTTCGGGGGGGGAAGACGGTAGTGTGAATGACAGAGGACAAGTTGCTGCAATGACCGGTCATTATCACTGTATTAGACTGACAGTTGCACCAAATACAGCTACAATGACCGGGGCGTTCTATTCGGGCGAATACGCCCTTATTATCTGCCCTTATATTTCCGTTGCCATTTTCGCTCTCAATGGTTTTACAGGCGTGTATATTCCCGGGTGCAAAACCGTATTCGGTCAGTTCGAGCCGCGCTCGCTGCAACGAGTCCGGCCCGACCTGTTCCTGTATGCTCTGTGGTTGATGTTGGTAGCCTGATCAGGGACCTGACCCCCTACTCTCCAGCAGCGAGCGCGGCTCCGCTGTTATCCCCTTGCCACAAGCCCGGCGAGCCTTCACATTCAGGTTTCTGTTTGTGTTCTTCACGAGTTATACGGGGAGCATTGATGAGCCTCGCCGAAAAAGTTATGGGTCTCTATATCTAGATAGAGAGAGCCTTATTCCACCAGTACATTGGACAATCCGAATGAGCCTCGCCGAAAAAGTTATGGGACTGGGGACTGGGGCCCACCTGGGGGCAGGTGTACTTTTCTTTTTTTTCGTTCAGGTCTGGCCGCAGGGAACTTCAGAACAACGCGAGGCTCTCTTTGGGGAGAAAACAATAAAAAATCAGAAGCTCAAGGCATCTGGAACCAAAATGATTGGCGGCGATACCGTCTTCACTAGAACGCCCGGTCATTGTCGCTGTATTCGGTGCAACTTTCAGTCTAGATGCAGTGATAATGACCGGTCATTGAAGCAACGTTTTTCCGTCCCAATACTTCTTCGATAATGACCAGGCGTTCTATTCGGGTGAAGACGGATAGGAGGATAAGAGACTCATTGACGCGAACTGGGGCAATGCTCCCTATTTTCTCTGTTCCGGACTTTATGTGAGGTGGCCTGCCTCATGATACTGTTTTTTTTATAACAAAAAAAAAAAGAAGTGAAAAAAAAAAAAAAAGCCTCGCTGGCGATTTGGAAGAGCTTGGCGCAGAGGGGGAATCCGCGCCGGAACAAGCATAGGCTTGGATATATGTCCTGCTGGTTTAAAATTGATGGGTCATACAAAAAAAAATAATAATAATAATAATTAAAAAAATAAATAAAAAATGCTGGGTCCTCGTTTTCTTCGTCACAAGTTAACGAGTGCTGTTCTCATGGCCTCTACAGCAACTATGCCTGGAGTGGAGGGATTGAATGGCAATTTAAGAAATATTTGCAGCAATTTAGGGATGAATACAACCAGAAACAGGGCCAGATTTCTTCTCAATAAAGCACGATAATGCCCAGAGACATCTTTTTCATACTTCTGCTTCATGCTTCATGAAATCGCCTCCGTGGGCCTAGCCGTCGCACAACTCGCCATCCCCCAACATTGTGAATGAATCTGGACCGCAGCCATATTCTGGCAGCTGGAGCGTAGTAGTGCAACTACGGTAGGGCCCTTAAAACACCAGCCTCTTTCCGGGCCATTCATTTTGTTCCCATGCAGCAATTGACGCACCGCATCCTTCAGGCAGGGCTCAGCCTTCTGGAGCCAAATGGCTGGGGGCGCCAGCCATTGAGAAATAAACAGGAGGACCGCCCTCCCTCCTATCATTCTTATTGACGGACTGCAGAAATCCGCATCGGCAAAACGCACCTCAGCACTGTTCTGAGAGTTTAATACACTTCTTCTTCTTTCTCTTCTTCTTCTTTTCCCCTTAACAAGTCTTATTCTTCTTCTTCAAATGTGTGTCATCCTTCTGCAGAGGCCATGCTAAAGTTCTCTACCCCGTCCAATTTTCTACCGTTCCAAATTTGACGGATGCCCCCAGTGACTGCTTCTTCCTCTTCCTCTTCTTCTTCTTCTTCTTCAAATGTGTGTCATCCTTCTGCAGAGGCCATGCTAAAGTTCTCTACCCTGTCCAATTTTCCACCGTTCCAAATTTGACGGATGCCCCCAGGGACTGCTTCTTCTTCTTATTACCTCCCTCTGACTTCTCTATCCTTTCTTTTTTGCCCCTATCTTAATATTTTGATTTATTGACTGCATTTTACTACTAAATAGTAAATAATAAATAGTAAATTCCTTTTCATAATCCGTAGCAAGGCCGTACATTTGGAGCGCTAAATAAAATTTTCAATTTTCAATTTTGTGTATTTTTTTACTATTTTGTATTCCAATTCCCTTTGCTGTGACCTGAAACGATGAATGTGGTTGTTAAGAGCTTTCTTTTCTTTTTCATCAAGACTCATATAAGAGTATCAAAGGCCCTTCCTGCAAATATTAATATCATTTTTTTGAATTTTTTTCATTGTAAACAAAAAAGGAGAAACTACTAGTTGTAATTTGTAAATAACTTGTTAAAAGTAACTCCAGAGCCTTAAGAGTATCAAAGTTGTAAGTAACTTGTTAAAACTTATAAGTAAAAACATGATGCGGTGGTTGTGTTCAGACTCCAGAGCCTTAAGATTTTTTTTTTTTTTTTTTTTTTTTTGAATGACTCTTCAGTTGTTCTTCTTTTTTCATCGTAAACAAAAAACTTGAAAAAAGTAATAAACACCTAGTTAGTAGTACTTAGTACTTGATGGGCAATGATTAAGAAACAACCAGTACACCCGGGTGTACTGGTCCCATTAGCAAAGAGGATTGGATTTAATTCGGGGATCTGGACGCGTTCGGCGCACAGATGCAGAAAAGCTGATCAATCTCAATCTTCCGCATCTTTCCACAAACATGTCCAGATTCAGGAATTAAATTCAATCCTCTTTGCTAATGGGACCGGTACACCCGGGCCTGCAGGCCCCTTGCTGCGCAATAAGGTATTCCCAACACCGCCAGCAGCGCACCTTTTTTCCTTTTTTGGCTGGCGCTGCCGGCCATCATGATCCGGGTAGGCTGGGCCTCCAAAATTTTTGTAGGCTACGAGACTACGAGTTTCTTTTTCCGCAGGGCTGGGGTCGCGTACTGGAGGTTAAGAGCCTTATTAAGATTTCTTTTCTTTTTTCTTTTTTTTTAAAGACTCTTCAGGCGTTATTATTTTTCATCATAAACGAAAAATAATTAACAACTAGTCGATAATAGACTCGATACTGGTTACCACTTGATGGCACCCGTCGTGAGAGCGCATCATTCAGCCACCGGGCAAGTACTATTTCCTGTGCGGGGTTGCGAATTTGTACTAGATAGCGTAGAAACTAGACGAAAGTTCCAGGAAACTCACTTGAATATTCCCAGGATAGTACTGGAAACTTGGCTGTGGAGTATAATTACTACGCTGTTGCTATCGGGCAATTTGAATCTGCAGTGGCGGGAAATAGTAGACGCGCGCAAAGAAAGAACTTGGTTAAACCACCACTACCTTTCACAGGCAAACGCGAAGTCCATCTAGTAGCAGGGCTGGTCCCCGGATAGAGCGGGGAACCCTACCCCATCCGCGGTCCTCCTGGTTGTACCGGCCGGTGGCCCGGGCCGGTTCCCTCCCGGTCGCCCCCAGCGCATTTTCGCTGGGGCCTGAAAATATTTTTTTTGGCGGTGCGTACGTTTTTTACGGAGGCCTCGTTGGGGCGAGCCCTGCCCCGCAATTTCGTTACCGGGTCGTGTAGGCCTGAATTTGTGAAGTCCAAAAAGTGGCCAATCTTGGCCGCCGATCGTCGCAGATCAGCGGCAAGGATCGACCACTGTTTGCAATCAGTTCGGGTGGGGAACGGAATCGCGCAGCGGGGGAAAATGCATCGTGCATTCAAACCCCGCTCGCCTCCACTGTGTGCACCCACTCCGTCGTCGCCTCCGACAGCCAACCGTGCCATCGCCGCCACCGCCAGCCAGCCGAGCCATCACTCGGTGCAGCCTCGCCATCTTCAGTAGGTCTCCGCAGGATGCAGCAGCGCCATCCTCGCCTCCACCAGCCAGCCGTGCCATCGCGCCCCCCGCCAATGAGCCACTCCATCGCGCCCCCTGGTTTGTTTCTTCTTCTTCTTCTTCTTCTTCTTCTTCTTCGTGGTCACTCTCCTCGCCCGTTAGCCACAGCCGTCCTCTGCATCTTCTTTTTCTTCTTCCACCTCCTCCTCCTCCTCTTCTAGTCCTCCTCTCTTAGCCATCAGCTTGTGTTCTTCTTTTTCTTCTTCTTCCTCCTCCTCCTCCTCCTCCGCCTCCTGCTCCTCCCGCTTCTCCTCCTCCTCCTCTTCTCCTCCCTCTTCTTCGGCATCTTCTTCTTCTTCTTCCTCCTCCTCCTCCTCTTCTTCTCCTCCTCCTCCTCCCTTAGCCATAGCCGTTTATTTTTTTTATTTTTTTTTCGTTGCTGCTTCAACTCCTTTGCGTTCTTCTTCTTCTTCTTCTTCTTCTTCTTCTTCTTCTTCTTCTTCCTCCTCCTCTTCTTCTCTCCCCTCTTCTTCATTTTCTTCTTCCTCTTCCTCCTCCTCTTCTTCTCCTCCCTCATCTTCGTCATCTTCTTCTTCTTCCTCCTCCTCCTCCTCTTCCTCCTCTTCTTCTCCTCCTCCTTTATTAGCCATAGCCGTTATATTTTTCAACTTTTTTTCGAAGCTGCTTCATCTTCCTTGCGTTCTTCTTCTTCTTCTTCCTCCTCCTCCTCCTCCCCCTCCTCTTCTCTCCCCTCTCCTTCGTCATTTTCTTCTTCCACCTCCTCCTCCTCCTCCTCCTCTTCTTCTTCCTCCTCCTCCTCTTCTTCTCCTCCTCCGCCGTTAGCCATAGCCGTTTAATACGTATATATATTTTTCATTGCTGCTTCAACTCCCTTCGACCCCCCCCCTCCTCCCGGCACAACCCAAAAAAAAGAATCCAACCTTCAAAGTTTCATTGCGGAATCCGACAGATCTCATCAAGCGCAGTCGGATCCCGCGAAGAAAAAAAAATAAAAAAAATAAAAATGGCCATTTTTTGGGGCCATCCGGTTTGCCGGTTGACCCCCTCTGGCCCGGTCCGGCCCCAGTTGGACCGGGTCACAGCTCGACCGGGTGGTTGCCGTCCCAGCCCTGTCTAGTAGCCTACTCGTCAGAGTCTGACGCCTCGCGGCAGGCAAGGCAGCCTTTTCTGAAAACATCAAAAAAAGGAGGGAAAAAAAAGGAAAAAAACTAAAGAATTCGAATCCAGCGACGTTGGGGAAGGCCCTCACGGACGTGGAAGTCGTACCAGTGCTTTGACGAATGTATCTGGCCAGAACGTGTGGAAAAATGATTGCTGATGTTTTCGTTTTTGTTTTTGTTGCTTTCATTTCCTTGCGTGCCCTGCCAGTGAGGCAGGGCGGATTCCACGGCAGGCAGAGCTAACTGCCTCACTTCCTCATAGTGCTGTAGCTTCCTGTATCTGGCCGCAATCACAGCATAAAGGATGCTTTTTTTTTCTTCTTTCTTGTTTCGTGTTCAGTGGACAGATGCCCTCACTGAGGGCGCAGTCACACTGGCACCTCGTAGAATGCATCTGATGGATATCGCGGCGTTAGGGAAGTGCTTTTTTTTTCTGTCTTTTTTCTTTTCGTTTCGTTTTTTTTTACATTCTTTCGCAGACGCAACTGCCCAGGCTCGGCAAAACTCGGTGCGCAGTGAAATTCAGGCTTCAGGCTCAGGAAAAACAGGATCGGAGGTAGTGTTGGTTTAAGGTTATTATTTTACTTATTAAGTTATTAGATTAAAGTTATTAAACGGTTATTACTACTTATTAAATTAAAGTTATTAAACAGTTATTAAATTAACAAATCAAGGGTTGTTGTCCTGTTTTAGTCAATGCAAAGAGGTGTTTTTCGGAACTTTTCCTTTTTTTTTTTTCTTTTTTTTTTTTTTTCCACCTTCTACATCGGGGCTCCCACTCCCACCCCACAGTGGGTAATAGTCGCTTAGACGCTTGCAATGGTCCCCTTCAAACTTCACAGAGTATAGTATCATTGACTCCGCAGATGGACCTGCGGAGCATATGCTACATAGTACACACACTCTCTCATCCCACCTCCCACAACATCCAGGGCTGCGAAGAGTAGCTAATAACATTGTACCAAAAGAGATGCCGCCGCTTCTCCAAAGAAGGCAAAAAAAAAAAAAAAAAAGCAAAAAAACCATATCACACACGAGTTGCCCGAGTTTTGGCGAGCCAGTGACATGGAACCGTTGTTGCGAAGCCCCATACGAGCGCGCAAAGAAAGAAAAGAAGAAAAGAAGAAAAAGAAAAGAACAGATGGCTGTGCCCCAGACAACCTTCCCATCCAACAGACAAGCGGGAAAAAAAAAGCTCAGCTTAAGGAGACGAGCCTAATGCAGGATTCTATCGAATACGACCAAACAAACAAACAAACAAACAAACAAAAGCTGCCATATATTGTGTAGATGAGTGGAGATATGGTACATACAGGCGTGGTGGCTGAATGGTTCACCGTACTTCATACATGTGGCTGTCGATAAACAGATGTTAAAAAGGAAAGGAAAAGTCTGAAAAAAAAACAAAGTATTTTCAACATCGCAGAGACATCCGCTAAAATTGGAACGATACCGAAGAAGATTAGCATGGCCGCTGCACAAGGATTTAAAAAAAAGAAAAAGAAAAAGAAAAAAAAGACATACCTGGCATATCAGATAGATAAAAACTGGATGTACAGGGGCCGAGTCCTAGTTTCCCAAAAAGGAAGGGGGGGGGGGGGCCCTGAACCCACCTCTAGGTGTAGGATAGGGTACTCACTGTTCGATTGACAAGAGGAGATGGTTTGAGGAGACGAAAGGGGCCTTACACTTTTCAAGCACCCCTCAAAAGAGCGGAGAGGACATAGCCTCATTAGTACAAGGATTGGACGATTGTTAAATATTCAATAATCAAAGGGACGCGATCGACAAAAGGATACATCCCAGGATACGTAGGAGGCGATTGCCACAATCAACAAGCCGCGAGGGTCATTACACTGGGGGCCTCGCCTCTGAGGTCAGCGGCACTGGCATGAAGCAGAGAACAACGCCGTCACACTCCATGAGCTATGCGGAGGTAAGGATCGCGGAATTTGAATGAACGAGCAAGCAGACCAGGAAACATAGGAGGCGATCGCCACAATCGACAAGCCGCGAGGGTCATTACACTGCCCTCGACTCTGAGGTAAGAGGCACTGGCATGAAGCAGAGAACGACGCCGTCACATTCCATGAGACATGCGAGAAAGAGTCTATGGTCTGCCTGCCACTAAGGCATGACGCAGAGAGGGACGGCGTCACATTTGATGAGCCATTCGGGCAAGAGCCTCGGGTCTGCGTACCACTGAGGCCAGCATTCAGGGCAGACCATCGCACTATGAACGCAACGCCCGTAAGGAACGTGGGAATTGAATGGAACGAGCAAGCGGACAAGGACACAAAGGAGGCGATTGTCGCAATCAACAAGCCGCGAGGCTCATTACACTTAGGTAGTCTTGGAACAGAGGTGAGAGGCACCCTCACGAAGCAGAGAGGGATGTCGTGACTTGCAATGAGCCATACATACGGGTGAGGTATGTATTAGGTATATTCAATTCACGATGGAAGCACACTTAGGTAGCAGACGATGCAAGCAGACTTAGGTAGCAGGCGATGGAAGCAGACTTAGGTAACCGTCGAGGAGGTGGAATGGATAGCGGGTGTTGAGTTGAGGCAGTAGGAAGCCTCAGGAATCATCGCAGGACACCTCAGTACTCAATGAGGCGCATGGATTACTAAGTATTGAATTAGGGCAGGAATCATCAGAGGATACCTCAGTACTCGGCGTATCGGATCGGCGTACGACGATGCAGGCGCAGGAATCGGGGGACGACATGGCAGCACTCAATTACGCACGATGAATGCTGGGCGTTGAGTTGAGATGGCAAGCAGGATCGAGAATAAGAAGTGGACATGGTTGCAGTCCATGAGGCAAAGGGATACTGAGTATTTAAGTAGGCTGGGATGCAGACACCGGACGGGTGTATCTCAGTTGGTACACCCATGAACCGTTGAAATAAAGACCCATGTTCGAATCCAGGGTGGGACACAGGCTCAGGAAGTCGATGAGCGAATCCCTTGGGACCTACCAGGGTCGTTTGTGAAGTTAGCGGATTGGGGTTCGTCGTCATGCCAGGCCCCACTGTCCTACCTTGAAATAAAGAACAACAGGTTATTGGGGTCTCACTAGAGATCAGATGAGCCTAGATCAGACAAGGTTCTCAGCTAATAGGCACAAGAAGAGGGTGCTAAACTGCAAGCAAAGTCAGAAAAGACCATAATCTATTGCATACAGAATCACAGATGGATCGGTGCATGTCTTTCTTTCCCCACCAACTTCTCATTTTCCCTTGCCCAGTGTCTATTGCTGAGGTGGGTCTTTGAGCATTGCTATTGTTTCGCATCTAAGAGTTGAGGGAGAGGGAGGCTTTATGACAACTCATGCAGGCAGCATTGCTGACAAGACGACGAGACAGGTGAGAGAGTCATTTCCATAATCAACCACGCAAAACGATTACTCAAATCGCACATTGTACACGATAGAGGGGTGCAGGGCGAAAACCACACACCCCAGCAACAGCTGGATGAAAGCTGTGCATCAAAAGCACAGAAGGGCCACCAAGGTAGATCCTCAAAACACCAGTGGACGGACGCTTGGTCAATGAAGAACAGTTGATGCTTCGTGTTGCATTTTCACCCACAGCGGATAACTTTATCCGCCGCAGATAAGCCAGACACTGGTGTCAACATGGAGCTTCATCGCAGCCGAGCGAGCGAGAGAGAGAGAGAGAGAGAGAGAGAGAGAGAGAGAGAGAGAGAGAGAGAGAGAGAGAGAGAGAGAGAGAGAGAGGTAACGGGACGTACAGACACTACTAGAAACGAAAGGAGATTAAGAAAGGAAGATCTCGGTGCTTGAAAGGAAAAGCATCGCACTCTCCTCTCCCAAAGAAGACTACATATACAAAACCACAAACACCTGGGCAACTGCAACAACTGCCACCTGTCATGACCTCTGAGCCTAGACTGCCTGCCATATTTTGTAATAAAGGCAGCAGGCAATCACCGCCGCGTTGTGCATTCCATCTGGCAGAACATCTGCAGAGGACGCATCCTCTGTGACCCAAAGAGCCCTCCGCTCATGCCATTTCAGGGAGAATGGATGGAGAGTGGAGAGTACAAGATTGACTATATATCACACCCATGGAAGGGGAACAAGCTATGTGTATGCACGTAGACAAAAGCAGAGCTTAGGACTACGGGAGGGAAAAACTCAGAGCAAAAAGAAGGCATGTCCAAGAGATTGGGGAAGGACAGGCCCTTGTGTGCCGGCACGGCACACAGTTCCATAAAATGGGGAGACATAAGTAATTGATTGACAAGCCAGGCAGGAAAAAAAGACAAGGGCAAAAAGTAAGTATGGAGACACAAGATGTGCATCCCTGGCTGCGCGCATGGGCAGATGACATCGATGAGAAGTTCGGCGATGGCGTCGTTCGTTTGCTTGCCCAAACCTACTCGAGGCTACAACCCTGATCACCGCAGCACCATCCGACGCCTTATTACACAACGCTGCGCCTGATCCTCGAGGGAGACGAATCTCTCCGAAGTCATCACGATTCTCCCCACGGTCACGACGTCGAAGGTACGGCTACCAGATTCGGGAGCGCTTTCAACAAGCTGGCGGTCTTCAAGAACGGCCTGCACCAAAACGACCGTTGAAACCTACTGATTGTCAAAGGCCTGTGAACCCATATACTCGCTTCAAGAGCTTTTCTTTCCCTCCCTGCACCCCACCCCAACCCCATTCGCAATCCCCTTTCCCCCCCCCTTTCACCCCTTCCCCGGCCCCCCCTTGGACCCCACCCCATCCATACACACACAGACACACCCACACACACACACACACAAGTGCAACCTCCTGTCAACATTCTAAATCCTACGTTTCCTATCCGCAACAATATGTCGAATCTGTAATCCCAAACCTGCTACTACTCATGCAGACTCAGCGACACCTTCTCCACACACAAACCGACAGGCACAACTTCAGCTCCGCACAGGAGTTCGCACAACGACCAACCCTGGCGTAGCCGCATAATTCCCAACCCACACGCCTTTCACAGATCAGTCGACAAAACCAGTATGCAGGTGAAGGGGCGCGATAAGACGGACAAAAATTGAAAAAAAAATATACGCCTCGTAAAAAATGGTTGAAGCTCTGCAGTTACTTAAAAAAAAAAAAAAAAACCTTTCAGAGAGACGGAAGCGCAACATTTGCCAGCGAGTGTAGATAGGCATACAGTCGCTGATCTTCGAACAAGCATTATCCAAGGCGGTATAACATCAAAAAGCAAAGCACAAAACTACCAAGCCTAGCATGAGAAAAAAAAACAGAGATCGGAGAGGCGGCAGACAGCTATGGCACAAAAAAAATAAAAAAAATAAAAAATATTTAAATTAACAAAAAAAACTTCGGAAACGGAAAATAAACCAACCATAGAAGGGAAAGCAAAGATAGTAGTCGCTTGCCACCAACCCGCCAAAGAGGCTGAAAACAGAACAGATACGAAGGGCAGAGTGCTCAGATGCCCGAATGAGCCGATCAAAGCGACTTAGACTTTTGTTTCGTTCATTCCACAGCCTTGTGGCCTTCATACGCATCATATATACATATACCCCAGATGAGTCATCAACAAAGGAAGGATAACAAGGTTGTCACAACTGACATCTTAGGCCTTATAAACATGAGCAAATCCTTTTGGCGCTTATTACGATGGCATGGCTTATGTGTACCAAATAAAGGCCCAAAAGTCATTTCCGCCCACTCAGGCATCATTTACGACTCCTTAAAAGACTTTTTTCAGTCACTCCGACAAGTCGTGAGGGATTAACATACCGAATATAACATCCGCAGTCAAACAACTCTTGATACTTAGAGGAATAAACCAGTTCCCAGAGGAGTCTCTACAGTTTGCGTACCATCGGTGCGAACAAAAGAGGCAAGTCAAAGATCGCAAAGCTCATAATAACAGATTGCCACGGAAACCCATCTGCGCAGCAACCGCAATGCTACAGGCAGAGCGTATCGGAACCTGACGTAAACTTGTCAGACACTGCAGGCTTATCATTACAGTTAGTCCCCCTACCAGTATGTTATGTCAGGGCTTACAACTGTCACACACACTTAATTGCAGAGTGTTATCACCACCGTCCCGCCCTGCATAAGACAGGAGTCTACGGCTCCCAGCATTGTAGAATTCTTCTATGAGAAACACTCAGAGAGCTTATAGAACAGAGATGATAGGTATATGCGGCCCATGTGGCGGAACGGTATACACTGTACAGTACTCTACACATGTAACTACAGTTCACGAGTTCGAATGCTGACGGAGTTGGATACATAGAATGATGTTAGGTACTTGTACACACCATGAGAGACATCAACCATGCAAGTCTCTAGGCCCTTTCCTATGCGTACACGGTGAACTTCAGGGTTTACGGCATCTATGTAAATATGGATCAACGACGTGAAACACAACATCCAAGTGAACATCTACCTTCTCCGGATAATCACGCTTCTGTGGATGACTTGAATTAGGTTAGAAAGGCTTGTTAGGAATTCTGAGGGTTGTGAGCATTTGTAGGAGGATTTGTAGGACCTTTGTGTCAGCCTACTGCATGAGTAGTTCCTTAATAGGTCATTAGATATTCACAGACTGAAAAAAAAAAAAAAAAAAAAAAAAAAATCACAGAATTAAAAAAAAAAAAAAAAAAAAAAAAGGCGGGACATGGCACCACTGGACCACTGGATAAATCACCAACACATATCTGCAAGACACTGAGTAGTGTAACAACACAACACGGGAAGAGAATCATAACAGATTTCTAAACGGACAACACCACAACTCCCGCCAAGGAACAGAATAACAGTGCAACAACTCTTCTAATCAAAGGAATGTTCAGAAGATCATGACATATGATGACACCGCACCAATCAAATCTATTGATCGACGAATTTAGCTGACGAGCGCGGCTCGCCAGCAGAGCATAGTGGGCCCCAAACCCTCCATTCTTGGCTAATGCAACCCCCATTCCCAATAAGCATATGTCTACACGTTGTGTGCGCTCCCTGAATCGCAGCGCTTCTAAATCAAAGCACTACTCGCATGGGCTCTCTGCATCGAGTAATACAGCCGTACAGGGCCACCTACAATACATGTAAAATCGACTAAGCGACCAGAGAAGATGAGAAGGAAAGCACAAAAAAAGCATCTTAACTGACGAACTAACTACCGCAGCCACAAGCGAACGAACAGTGCAACAGCTCCTCTAAATCGGAGGACTACACACACTGGTGACGTATGATGAAGTAGCAGTCAATCAAATCCACCAACCAACCAGCTTACTTGACCCCACCGGTTTCCTTTGGATGGCTGTACCGAACTTCTTTCCTTAAACCATTAGTATACCCGGGCCTGCAGGCCCCTTGCTGCACGCCACGGTTTTCGGAACACCGCCAGAGGCGCCCTTTTTTTCCTTTTTTAGGTGGCGTCGCCAGCCATCGTGGTCTGCTAGGCCGAGCATCCGAAATTTGTGTAGGCTGCAAGTTTCTTTTTCAGCAAGGTTGGGGCTGTGTACTGCCGGTTTAATACTTCTCCTGCCGACCTTCCCATTTCCCCTTCTGCCGCTTCATATCTTCGCTCGTCTCTTCCCGCTGCCTCTTTTTCCCCCGTCGCTCTCCTCGTCCTCCATTCCTCGTATTCCAAACGCTACCCAGTCGCAATCCCTGTACAGTACCCGAAATCTTACTGTGACACTCCGTCACTTCAGTCGCAGATAATGTTCATAAACTCCATCGCACCCTGCCTAGCTCATTCTGAAATGGTGCCTAAAGAACACGAGCAACCATCCCGGATGGCGCTAGACCCAAGCCAGGCATGGAAAATGCCTTCGTTAAGTTCGTTATCCATAAACGATACCTGAATACAGTTGAGGGTAGCGGTTGCCGCGCTTCCTGGCTGATATCACCCCCATTTCTGCATAACACTAAACTCAATCACTTGTGGGAGCGGACTCCACTCACTTTCGGCACTGCACTGTATCAGACTTGTTCCATGGATTGTATATCTAGGTCAATCCCTGGAGCAACCACCTAAGTGCATTGCTTGAATACGTCGATATCCATCGCACATTCTCCTAATATTATCCCAGAAACATAACTCGTTCTCTAGACGGCAACCGAGTGCTCCCTCAGCGTCTTCGTTCCAATACCTGTCTCTTATACACATCTAGATGTGTATAAGAGACAGCCACTACTCCTAATTGTAGGCATGTGGGGAACCCCATAGCAGCCAGATTTCTGACCGTCGATCTGCATGATTTACTCAATTTTACTGTCAAAAATGGAGAACCATGGTAAGTGGAACCCTACCACTCGTCAAGCATCAGTAGCAGTTGGGCCAGAGAGCATCTCCCTAAACGCGCGTAATAAAGCATATGATCTAAAGTTCCCTATGTTGAAAACATGTCATCTTTTTTCAGGAATTTTGTCTTCCCTCATTTGGGCAATTCTCAATCCATGAGTGCCATCCTGAACTTTGGTGTAATACTGACTCGGTACCTCCACTTTAAATCACCAGTACACCTGGGCCTGGAGGCGCTGCACTGCGTGCTAAGCTTTTCCGAACCGCGAGCGCTGCACTGCGTGTTAAGCTTTTCCGAACCACGAGCGGCGCACCTTTTTTCTTTTGGGGCTGGCACCGCCGACCATTGTGGCCCGGTAGCCCCAAGCCCCGAAAAGGTCAGAGTTGGCAAGTCGTGATTTTCTGCAAGACTGGGGCCGTGTACTGGCCATTTAAACCAGCCGTACTTTTCCTAACTATTTTGTTGAGGCGCAGGTGTTTACAAGTCACATCTTTTGGGGCCCAGCCAGCCGAAACGAAGAGGCTGGAGGCGTCAGCCAAAACGATACGGTTTCCTGCCCACGCCAGTTCGACTAAAATCACCATGCAGCAGAAATATGCATTGCAAAAAAGAGGCTGGGAAGTACTGGTGGTTGGCAACAGAACAACACAATGCCTCTTCTCGCATTTCCTGCTGTAATCGTCAAACAGAGCTCCACTCACGAATGCCAAACTGTCCACCCAGTCACTCCGAGGGCCTGGTCCCACGGTCCCACCTAACCCTGTGACTGTGTCAATCTTTCTCTTGTGCGGCACTGCCAGCACCTATTGAGCCATCACATCAGAAAGTCTGATGCGCAGACCCTGCGGTTGTAGAAAAACCATCATGAGAATGAAACAAAAAGGTGAAAAACAATCACTTCGATGAAACGAAAACAGAAGAGAGTCCTCTGTAGCTGTCATGATGAAGGACAGAGAAGCTCTGACCGCTGACGCCCCAATCGAAATGAGTGTGCCTGTCAGGCAAGCGGAAAAAAAATAAAACCCGGTAATGGTTCACCAATCATCACCATCGTCAGAGTCGGAAAGCAGTTGGTTTTCGCAGGAAGCCACTGGCATCCGCATGACTTTTATTTTTTTCCTAAATGCGGTGAGATGGACCACAGATCAGGGCCTCGTTCCACTGCCCGCCATTCACCATGAGCTCTGGCGGACCATGGCGGTCCGGAAAATAGCAGTTTCGCGGCCAAAAAAGGTGCATGGTTCCATTTCCTCGCCATTGCCATGGGCAATGCGATA